GGGGAAGAGAGGGGGGGGAGAGCAGTCATTGCGGTAGAAGTTTTGATCAGACGAGAACACTCCCCGACATGTCGTGGTCCACGCCGGGCGAGTCTGGGACGTGTCCGGGACGTGATCCTTTAGGGTTCCCGGTCACGCAACACACGGGCGCAGTGAACTAGAGTCTAGGACTCTATGGGGACCCTCGTGGCCGGGGACGCCTGAGGGTAGGCAATATCCCGCCTCGTGTGTCCGGGATGTGATCATTTGGGGCCATAGTTCGAAGTTAAATCATTTGAAATATGGATCTGGATATAGCAAGAGGTGACGAGACTCTGCTTTGGAACCAGCGTTCGACTCACAGCGAAGCCGTCCGTGGGACTTCCCTTCCGACTAACGCGAATAGCGGGCGAGCGGTTCCCTTTTCCAGGCACCTTGCCGTGGTGGCGAGTACGCTTATAAGACTTAGGAATCCGGCTGTAAAGGAGCTCCGTGATCTGTGCTGTCAGTACAGTTCAACCAGCGTACTCAACCGCCTTTGTACCCCCGGGAGCCCGGGAGTATGTTGTGACCACTGTGGTTGAAAGCGCAACGAAGTCGCGAACGACTGCGGCTTGACTGCGGTGTTTTACTTATTTTTAGGGTGCTACAATGATAAGAATTAAGATACAGTTTGTAGTAGTTTGGTTGAATCACAATTTATTTTTAATTTAATTGGGAAGAGATACACAATATTGGCCTTTGAAATTGTAAACATTTGGGACGTTTTCCACGTCACCCTAGGTACATACCTTACAAAAAGCTTTAAAAAGAAACATTCTTAAAATAATATAAATCTATAATCAACATAAAGTGATGGCACTTTTAAGCCCAAATTATTTTTTGACAATGGGGCAACAAATTAAAAAAAATAATCTTAAAACAATATAAAAAATATCATCAATAAATTGCAATGACAGCAAAATCAAAATAGAATGAATATTTATAATACACGCGTCTTTGGTGGTACTAGCTCTATCCGTCCAAAAGTCAAAGTGGACTGGGAACAACAAAAACAAAATCAGTTTTTATGAGAGAAAAAATTATAAAAGTCTTACAACCAAACAGCAAACACTCATCTTAAATATTTTAATACAATAAACAGAACACTTTCTGTGATTGTGTAAAAAACTAAATTTCAAAATGCGCTTCTGGGCTAACTTAATAAATATCTGGTTCAATTTAACAGAGAGCATAAATTTACAATGGAAGCACTCCTTTTACTACGACTGTACACCTTTTTGGCACTTGAATTCACTTTTCATGAGTTAGAAGGGATCCTTCCACACATATTCAAATACACATCACTCTGGGAATGCATACATACAGTAAGGAGTATAAATGATTCGAACTACTGTAGTACGGTGACTAAAACATAACCTCAGATTGGTTTGACTAGCATACAAAAACACATAGAAGTCATGACAAGCTGGCATTCACAAACAAAACTTTGTGAAACTTATTGGAATGGCATATCATATAGCTATGTAAAATCCAGTCCATAAAATATTTACAGATACAATTGAATATACCTAGGACATTGAACAAGTGGGATTCAAATATAGGTACAATCATCAATCATACCACACGTAATAGAATCTATCACACAATACAAGAAGCACTTAGGATGTGGATAAGCCATTCCTCCATTTACCAAAAGAAGAACTAGTTAAATGTTCCTGTGTATTTCACTTCTTTATGACCAAAATTTTGCAGTAACAAGTAGTCATATAAAATTATTGTCAACCCCATTTTTCTATGTACATTGATTGCTCAAAATATATACATATAAATGTATACTTTAGTTTGTAGACAGACATAGTATATGTATGCATGTATAATTTCTATAATAGTTTTATCTACTTAAATAACTTTGGAATGACTTGAAAATTACAATTTTCCCCTTAACTGAACAGGACAAACCATCATCCTAGAATCTGCATTCTTTTCCCTCAATAAACATAAAATGAAAAAAATCAAAAAAATCAACAAAACAAAATAACTACATTTTAAATTCATCATTTAAGATGCACGGATAACAATAATGTGCCATATGCCACACATAAACAATGGGTGAACTAAAAAAAATAAATGCTCTTTGCATGCGGGATTTAATACTACACTGAGTAAGATACAAGGATAAAAGAGAAAGGCAAAACCATGTAAGGTTCATAAACTCTAGTGCAAAGACACGGGAACACCATACCAACAATTCACAGAAAAGTTAAACATTTTTCAGTAAGCTAAAGTTATTTCAATACCTTTGTTCAGTTTAAGTCTATGTAATATTGTCAATGTGTAAGAATTTACATCCAGCCACAAGGAGAAATAGATCAATAAACCATTTGGTACATAAACAACGTAACAGTTTGTCCTAAACCTATTAAAAGCTATAGAATTATAAAAATTTTAATGTGGCCGCAGGAAGTTACAGGGCATTAAGAGAAATGCAGAGGAGCAACATCTAATAGCAAGGGTTCACAAAGGGTTCTTTTTCGATCCAGAAGTAACTATCATTGAATTAAGGCTTGAGAATAAGCCTTGAAAGGGACATTGTACAATAAATTAAGTAATTCAAGAACTGTTAAAAATTAAGTGCAGTGTTTACACTCAAAATCAAGAGGCACTGTGAAAGGTATCAGTCATAAATTATGACACAGAAAAGGGGAAAACAGTCAACAGATCGAATGGTTACCAACACTGAACCCTGCAATTGAGATGTGCGGTACTGTACTAAGTTCGATGGGCACTTATCTATTCTCTATACGGTTTACAGTAGGAGTAACGGTGGTTCATGTGCTGACTATATGACCCCGAATGGCTGAAACGCTTGAGGCACTTCTGGCACTGAAAAGGTTTCTCTCCACTGTGCAGTCTCTTGTGTTCTGTGAGGTGATGCTTGTGCTTAAAAGCCTTCGGACAAACGTCACACTTGTGCGGCCTCTGACCTGTAACAGAAATAAGCTAGATGTAAAACGAGAATTTTAAAAAACAACAAAAAACGTAAGATATTTTTGTACGCAAAGGATAGCACATGCTATTAGTATTGTTCGGTCACATAATTATTCTACAAAATTGATATTTTGACCCAAAACTCACCTGAATGTTCAAACTTGTGGCGTGCTAGAGAGCTTTGCTTGCTGAAGACCTTGTCGCACTGCTTGCACACGAACTGCCCCTCCGGCTCGCTGTCCAGGGCGCCAGGGGAGCCGTCGGTGAAGCCGTGCGCCGACAGCAGGGGCCCCAGGGCCCCCGCCATCCCGAGCGAGGACAGGGGGCCCGCCAGGGAGCCCGACAGGGCACCGAGTGCACGCCTCTTGATCTGCTGGTGTTCATCCTCGGCCTCGTCGGGGGTGTCGTCGCCGTCTGGACCGCACTGCAAAACAATAATTAACCAAATTATAAAATTGTCTATTTGTTTTGAAAGTGAAAACTTTAACAGTTTCTTCTAAATGAACAGTGATTACTTTTTTAGGTACACACCTGTTTCCACGACCGACGGTCAGAGCCCGGGCTGGAGGAGTTGGCGCGGAGGTGCAAGTCCGGGGCGGAGGCCAGGTGCTTGGTGAAGAACGGGGGCAGCTCGGCCACGCCGGGGAAGGGCCGCTTGAGCCCCCGCCAGCCGTTGGGGCTGGGAGAGCGCGGGTACAGTTGGTTGTACAGGGGCAGGAAGGCGGGGGGGATGTTGACGGGGGTGGGCGACCTGGACCGGGTCGGCGAGTCCGAGCGCGTGGACTTGCGCGACAGGTTCATGACGCCGTCGTCAGAGTTGCGCGAGCTGGGCCGCGGCGGCGAGCTGGACGGGGACGAGTGGACGGAGTGCTGCGAGGTGGGCCACTTCTTGGTAGAGAGGTCGAGCGGCTGCTCGGAGGGCGGCTGCTGCAGGCCGGCCAGGACGGCGCCGCCGAGGAGGGCGCCGAGGCCGTGCTGGGGAGGTGCGCTGCCCGCGCCGGCACCCGCGGCCGGGGTCGGGCCGTTGATGAGCCTGCCCTCGCGCCGGTCGCGCGCGCGCGTGTTCTGGAACCACACCTGCACCACGCGCTGGGGCAGCTTCACCATCTCGGCGAGGCGGATGAGCTCCTCGCGCTTGGGCCGCGGGTTGGCCGCGTAGTGGGGCTTGAGGATGGCCAGCTGGCTGTCAGTGATCTGCGAGCGCACGCGCACCTTCCGCCCGTCCTGGTCGTGGTCCGTGAGCTCGTCCTCCGAGCCGCTGTGGTGCTGCGGGCCCGCGCCCACGCTGCCGGTCGTGCTGCCGCCCGCGTCCTTGCCGGGGTGGCCCGCCACCTCCTCCAGCTTGGCGGCCAGCCCCTCGGACAGGGCCTCGGCCGCGGCCTCGCCCAGCGCCTCGCGCGCGCCGCAGAGGTAGCGCTCGTGCTGGTGGAGGTCGATGGGGCTGGCGAAGGCGCGGTGGCAGTGCCGGCACTGCTGGTCGCCGCCGGGCGACGCCGTGGACCTGAACGACTTGCTGATGACGTTGGCGCTCACCGTGGCCAGGATGCGGTCCAGGTGGCTGGCACGCTCCGACCGCTCCTCGCCGTCGCCGGCCTCGTTGGCGCTGCCCTCGCCGTCCTGGTGGCGGACGCCGTTCTCGTGCGCGCCGCCGTTGCTGCTGCCCTCCTCGGGCTCGGACTTGACGGCGTCCTCCCTGTCGTGCTGCTCCTCCTTGATGGCGCCGCCCGTCTCCTCGATGTTGACCTCAAGCGCGGACAGCAGGTTGTGGTGGCGGTCGTCGTCCTCCATGTCGTGGTCCAGGTCGCCGCTGTGCGAGGGGCTGCGCGCGGGGCTGGGCCCGCCGCTGTGGCCGCTGGGGCTCCGGTAGGGGCTGCGCGGGCTGCGGGGGCTGCGCGGGCTGTGGGGGCTCTGCGGGCTGCGCTGGCCCGGGGACCCGCTGCGCGGGCTGCGGTCCTGCTCGGGGCTGCCACACGGGCTGCGCGCCTGCAGCTGCGGCGCGTTGGCGTGCAGCTGCTCCAGCAGGTGCGTCAGGTGGTAAGGGTGCATCGCGCCCGCCATGCCGGGCAGCTGGTAGAAGGGCGCCGGCGCCGAGAAGCCGCCGAACAGCGCGCCCATGCCCTCGCTGTACTTGGGCAGCATGGGGAAGGCCGTGTTGTTGTTGATGTTGTTGTTATTATTGTTGTTGTTATTGTTGATGGTGGTGGGCGCGCGCTTGCCGCGCGACAGGGCCTGCCCGCCGGCGCCGCTCTTGGGGTTGGCGCGCGACACCTTGAGGTTCATGACGAGGCACTTCTTGGACGTCATGTGGCTCGAGTACGAGCCCGAGTGGGAAAAGCGCTTGCCGCAGTTGCCGCACTCGAAGGGCTTCTCGCCGCTGTGGATACGGATGTGCTCCTGGAAAACGAGACAAACAGACCACACACGTAAGTCACGAAAGGTCATAATTTTATCTCGAAAAGTTAAAAACAGGCCCAGAAAAAATCGGCAAAAATTGAAATATTTCCAGAAATTGAAAAACATTAAACTTAATATGAA